GATGATGATGATGATGATGATGATGATGATGATGATGATGATGATGATGATGATGATGATGATGATGATGAGGCCTGGTTGCAGGCCTTTCCATCTCTAAAACAGTGATAAGACCTGACCTGTTTACCGACTGTTACCCAACGTATATACGCGTTATCAATGCTGCTCTCTGCCGCATCGGCAGACGGAGCCGCACTCCACTCGTTCGGCGGAACGCGGAACGCGGTCGTGGCCGCCTTCTTCCTCGAAGAACTCCACGGAGCGCTCGACGCCTCGGAACATGTTAAGGTCGGACCAACGTCGACTGGACTTGGGTCTTTTCTGATGACGTTTTGAGCCGGGAAAACATAGACAAACATCAGAACAAATCAGAACTTGGGGGCATGATTCACCCCAAAAAAAGATAGAAGATCACATTGGGAAAAGAGGCACCAAATGCTTCGGCCCACTAAGGAAGCGGTGTTATTTGGCAGTCAAGTCTTTCAAGCTTGAGCAGTACGCAGTACTTGAAACTGCCTTATTGAGGCAAACATCCAGAAACTCAGAAAAACGCCACCCGCCAGGGGAAAGGTTCGCCACCAAACGCGGACCAATGACAAACAGCACCCGCCCGTGGGCGGACCTGATGGAACTCCCGCTCCAGACGCTTCGAAAGGGGAGGACGATCCGCAACCTGAGCGGATGTTCGTTCCCTCCATCTCTCACCGATCGCGTCCCATCTCTCCCCACAGCTCCGACCCGTGAGTACGACGACGAGGTAACAACGTTCGACGGGGCAACCCCGACGACAGTCGTGTGCGCCGGGTCACACATTCCATCTGTTGAGTATGTGTGCGCATGTGTGAGGTCAGACCTGCCAATCCAAAAACCTTCGACCTGACCGGACACCCAATTCGAACCTCATTCGCTTTACAAGAATCGCCCCAACCGGACGGTGGTTCCGGACCGCACGGTCGGGTTCGGTTCATCCAGCTGGGTTCCCCAGGCTCTTGTTCCGACGAGTGGAGCTCTTCAGCGCGAGATCGCTGAACTCCTCGGCCTCAGCGACGGGACGGTTGCTCCGGACGTTCGGTGGGATCAAAATAGGAGAGGAGACGTCCAGTACTAGTCATATAGGAGGATCCTTCTCCTCTCCTCCGAGCTTCGTATGGTTCATAGAATCTATGACATACGCAGGCTTTTTAGATGTCCAAGTGGCCGCTGAAATGTGTGGAATCCCGGGCGGCTATTTAAAAAAAGAAAACACACACACAGTGGTGGGAAGTGTGGTTGACTGATTTTTACTGAAACAAGTGCCATGTTTTTGTTGAAACGGTCGGTTGTGTGTCTAGTTCATCCCAGCAGACCTGATCCCAGCGCGGTCAACCCATTGGGTGTCTCACAGTACGACCCGGGGCGTGGTTGGGTGAGATCGTCAAGAGCCGTGGCTCAACGTTCTTTGGTCCCAAAAACATGGTCAAATTGAATGATGGACAGTGAAGTCAGCCACTCCTTCTTTGAAAACATCCAGTCAGCCACAATGTCATGTGTTATTTTTGCCGTGCAAGCTAGTGGTGTAATCCAATCTACTCAATTTGGTCCTCTTCACCGGCAGATTCATGCCAGAAAACAAAAGAATCCTGCTACAGGTGTAAGTTCGAAAAGGCTACGACTGCAGGTCAGTTTGTCCTCCACCCATCTAGACTTCACACATAAATGTTGTGGTGGTTTCATGCACCTTCCTTCCCCGTTTAATGACCCCTCCCCATATGTCTGTTCGAAAGCAGAGAAACCATCAAACTGCAAAAAGCGTGTACTGCAAAATAGACAATCTCGATAAAAGCTATATAAATGGATGAACTTTTTTGTTTCATATACAGTGATCTGCTCGTCAAAAACCTGCCAGCCGAAACCGCCGCGAAAACCCGATTTCCTTCGGGGATGCCTGTCTTGGCGCCGTTGGCAACCTTGCCTGCGCGTGCCGCGGAGACTTCTCAAGTCACATGGCTTTACCGTAGCTCGCTGGGTGTGAACCAGGCGGCGCCGCTCCCTTCCACCACGGCCGTGGCGCCCAGGGGCGCTGGCTCTCTGACCAAACCTACGACCCAATAGATTACCAGGGGAGGCCTACGACCTGAAAGTATGCGAAGGACATCGACGGGTGTAGGACTGTCACACACACAAACAAAACACAAAGTCAAATGCAGTAGTTGAAAAGATGGCCAGTACCACCAAGGGGGAATCACAAGCCGACAAACTGCCTAAAATCCTCTGCATCAAGCAGATCTGCAGAAAACTGCATACGGCATTCTGCAACCCAGTCGTGCAACCCCCAAAATCACAATCCTGTCAAAACAGAGTTTCTACAGAATGCCTAGCACAAGATCAATTTTTGGCCGGGGACGCATTCAGCAAAATGGAAAACTTCCAAAGGGGGATGGATAGGGATCTGATATGGAAATGACCTACCAGCGCTCCAGACAGTTCATAATGGATTCTGTGGAGATGCAACTTGTTCACCATCATCTACTTAGGAGCGACAAAGCCATGCCATCCTTTGTCCATCCTTCTTGCCCCCAGATCCCCCTGCACATGTGTCTCTATACAAGATGACAAGTGTTCTGAAAAATGGATTCTGGCGTGCCTAAAAACACCTTATATATAGGAATGTCACGAATGTCCACAATTTGTGTCTACAAAATCACATGTGTGTAAATCAGCATGCTGTTGGTGCCACTCAGATTACCCCTGTACAAGAGGCCAAACATGAAAGCACCCAAACAAGTTTCCTATAAAAAATGCCTTATCTCAGTGGTCAACCAATTCCATTTTGTACAGGAAACGTGCAGGGGGACAGAAGGGGCTGGCTTTTCATTTGATCGGAACTGGACTCGAAAACAGAATTGTCGACTATAGTCTATAGTTCATCCATGACGTTCCATGCATCCTCTTCCGTGGACCACCTGGCCCACTTCCCCGAAAGAAGAACCAGCCTGACTGCGTTCGGCAGGGGCGGCCCCTGGCAGAAAATCCGAGAAAAACATAGAAAAACGCACTTTGCTGTTCCATAGATACGTTCATTCTCTATATTCTCTTCCCTTAGCCATGAAAAACCACCGGCCCTACCGTGGGTCGTGCCTGACAACGAGGCTCTCTTCGCCTCCTGCGACAGCGACCGGCCGGTCCGGTCCCGTCGATCGGAAAGAGTCTGCTAAGAGCACATCACATGGGTTACGAAGTGGGCAGAATCCAAAAGGGCTTCGGAAACTTGGAAAGTCATAACCTATAGAAACTGTCCCATCCATAACAAGGCGTTTGTCAGAGTGTAGAGTGTTGATGAATAAAGTCCCCCCGTGTCCAAAAATGGTTTGAGTGAGTGTATAGTGAACTGAAGACGTATAAAGCAGTACAGTTGGAGTGTACATTTGAGTGTGAAAGTCCAAATGAACCGAGCGACTCAGTGAACCGAGCGTGATCATCTCCGATCGTGCGAAGCTCGATAAGGAGTGATCGTCGGGGGAGGAGTGTTGATTTTCACGAGGCTCCGAAGTCAACGATGTTGGCGACTGAACTTGGTTGGATCTGGCTGGACACAGAAGTTTGGATGCACATGGATGCACCCAAAAGGGTGAAGCGAAGCTGCATGATCTGATGCCCTGCGGAGAAGGAAGTCGTGAAAATAGATTGAAATAGCTTGAACACTATACAACAGTGACATTGTGAGAAAGGACATGACATGAGGATGATGTCACTCGGATTGTGTACTTCCAAACCTTTGGTGGGACGCTGCGATATGGGTAGCAGTACAGTCGACCATTGTACCCCAAAAAAAACATGAGAACCCATATACTTCTGCGGGGCCCTAAGATATTTCTGGCAGATCTAATCTTCTAGTCTTCTGACACTCTGCTGACGCCAATGACCTCTTTGTCATCATTCTGGCATTCTCAAGTAAACAAACCAGGGAAAAGCCCAACATTTAAAAACCCTTTCTGGATTCATGGTCTTGCACCATTTACTTAAATGAGTATGAGAGTATGACACAGGATGACAGTGTCGATGCATCTTCAGCCGCTATGCCGGTATTTGGTGATATTGTTAATGACACCCACTCAAAGCCATTCAAAGCCTCATTTAGCAATACCTTTTGCGAACCCGTGGCTTCAGAATGAAAACCAGTGCAAATCCCTTTTCGGCCGTGGTGGGATGGGTCATGGGTCTGTCTGTTCACCGACGCGATGGTGTGAACTCGGTCCTTTGACCTCTGTGGACACAGTCCACCAGTCTTCCGAAATTGTACCGTGTCTACTACAGTTGAGCTACTGCAGTAGGGCTGCCAGTTCATTTTTGGATGTTGCTTGTTGTTCGGCTCTTTTCTTCGCGATGGTTCTTTGCCACGCTGTGTGTTTGATGTGCTTGTCTGATTGTCTTGAGTGCATCTACTCCACGGTCGTGATCGTCTTGGCCCCTCGGTGAAAGAAAGCTCTCAGGACTTGGTGGATCTCAAGCGAATGCGCTGTGACCCAGAGCCAGGCAATCGTTCGATCTCTTGCCGGGCTTCCAAATCAACTTTCGTGTATCGGACGTAGTTGGTCAGCCTTCCTTAGTTAGTTGTCACGTTTACTGGAATTTGCTTACAAGTCATCACAAGAAAAGCCTCCGCTCTCTTTCTCCAAACTCTGGGGGATTTTCCCCCGCCCGCCCCCCCCCCGGCGTTTTTCCTGCTGGCTCATCAGTTGAAGAAAATCCCCGGTGTCAGCACTGAGTCAGCCTGCTGACACAAACCTTCGTTGTCTGAAAATAAAGAAGAAGAAACGAAACCATACAAACCCTGACTGGTGCACCTCGGATTCCGGCGGATCCCGAGTTTTCAGGGTTGGCGTCTCAGTTGGGCTCAGGTTTTAGGCGTCAACCGGTGTCTCGGTTGGTCATAGCTTCACACCCACGTCCTTTTCAGTCGACCGGCCGCGCAGCATCCGACCGATGGTACATGGCGCCCTCGGGACGAGTGGCCTTTCGGGAAGAGCGCATGTGACTGGTAACGTTCTTGAGCAGAGTTCACCACATCTTGCAAAGCCACTGAGCCGTCTGTGCCAGACTTCTTCTTGATCCAATTCAGGATATGTGTCCGCATCAGGTTGTATTGCCTCGACTGCACAAATCGTGCCCTGCCAAGAATCGGTCCCCCCCAAAACCAATCGCTCACCATTTCCCTCTACTGTACTGTACATGGAGTCCTCACACTCTCACACCATTCACGAACCAAGTGTTGATCAAAGCTAACCCTTGTGACTCATCATGAACCTTCAGCCAGCAGTTGGCTTGCAGTCAAATCTGCGGGTCAATCACCTATCTCAGGCTTGTCCATCCTTCTTTGTGAGGATAAGGAGCTCGTTTTTCGTAGGATTCACCGGCTTGTCCAAGCCGAGCCAGTGAACCCAGTCATCCAGTCATCCGAACACAACCCGTGTCATGCAAAGACCATTTGGCAAGCCAACACCTCAAAACACATGGTTACGTAGATGGCATGGCCCCGAAAGGAAGACAACTTTCCTTTGCAAACAGGCAGCTTTACTGTACTTCCTTTCGTTTACGAAGTACTTGTGGCGCCATCCACGTAACCATGTGATATGTTCGTCAGAGTACATAGCTTTGGCCGAGTGGCTTTAAATCCATGGTCCAACCATCCAGTCCATTGGGCCGCGTGGAATTGAAGATCTGCACTCGCCCCTTCTCACGCGCCAATCGGTCAGCAGCCCAGGCCTTTGCACTCACGGGCTTGTTGTAAACGCCCAGAGGCTTCCTAAAGCAGGGAAAATCTTCAAGGTTGGCGAATTTGGAGACTTCAACATGAGGTGGTTGGCTTTTCTATGAAGCTCTCACTCGCGAGCGTAGGACTGCGCCCCTCACCACAAAGACAGACACCTCGTCCGTTGGATGACGACTCGTCTGTTCCCCATACCATCTGCATGGTACCGAAAAACACATGCCATCCCATGCACCCCCAGAGTGCCATCCGCATGTGAACCCCACAACTGGCGTCTGTCTCACCTCATGAATTGGCTCAGATTTGGGAGAACAACTCAGACATCGTAGCAATGCAGAAGCCTGACACTTGTCTGCAAAATAGCAGAACACCATGTGGAAAGAATGGATAGATACATAAACATTACACAAAATCAAAGATGGATTGAAAAGCCATCTTGGTCACTTCACCTTTGCCTCCGCCTTACCTGCGGGGCGCTTGACCATTGCACCATCACACGACGCTGGCTTTTCCGTGGTCCGTGGCAAAGAGGTGCTTGGGCCAAAAATCAGTGATCCATGGAATCCATCGGCTTTACCATGCTCCACCTTTGGAAGACGGACCAGGTGGCTCCCTACCTGGCTACAAGATGCCTTATCTTTTCTCCTCTGCTAGTGAGCTCAGGAGACGCAGATGTTCAACGCCAATGGACCAGAACCTGGCCTAACAAACCAATCTGTGCATGTCAGGGGCTGCGGATTCCTTGACCGGCAATCACACAAACATATAAAAATACCAGGTGTTGTCAGGGTAAATCCCAGCAGAATGACGAACCCAATCGCTCAAGATGAGGCTGCTCAGGCCACTTAAAACAGCGAGCACGCCTGAAGGACAAACACAGTAATCCACTGCTGATGATCCTGATGTTTCATCCTGTAATCCACTGCTGATGTCCTATGTTTAAGAACCCCCAAATCAGGATCGAAGGCAGTCTCTCCTGCTTCTTGGCAGCTGCCAAACTCCTGCGATGGGGTCTCGCTCAACACGCTCAACACAGTTTCTGGTGAATGGCCGAACTATGCCGAGCTTCTGTCACAGAAGCACCTAGCTTTGAACATGAAGGATTCTCAGTTGCCACGGTGGAAGGGTTTGTCGGTCTCTCTAGCTCAAGAGATAGTCAGCCTGCAGAAACACACACATCAGCAAGAAACCTAGTTACTTGTATACTTGGCCATTCTCCCAGCTAATTACAGTATCTACAGTATATGCATATTGATTATTGACTCCAACGTACAAAAAGGGCCGTTTTCTGACATGTCACAAAGACATCCCCACCAAAGCGTCCCAAGGTTTTCAGGTCACCGCTTAAAAACCAATATGGCCTAACTTCACTAGCAACCCTCCTTTTGAAAAAGGTCTGTTTGTTGGAGGGTTCTGGTATACTTTGCAGTCATTTGGAACATCGACATAGTATTCACCATGATCACCTTCCAAGCCTGTGTCCCACCAAAATGATGGAACTCCCTTGACGATCCTTGACGTGGTAGCAGGTAGCACGTGAATTATCGATCCACTTCCCCTTCCCACACCAAAGGACGCAGAAACACCGACGACTCAAATGCCAACAGGCGCGCCTGCACATGGAGTGGAAGCCTGTGGAGGCCAAAAGCACTGGAGCATCAGAGCCTTTCCGCCAAAAGACTTCCGCTCGAAGGCCATAGAAGAGATGGAGGCACCAGTAAACCTGACACCATCAGCGCAAGAGCGGTAAAACTTGGGGGTGTGGTTTTGAGGAAGGCACCAGCTGAGTTTGTGCTTGCGTGGTACGAGAGAACTTTGCTGTTGCAGGTGTCTGACACAAAGAACACAAAAACTAACCGGACATCACCGGCCGGTAGGACACGCTGCGTGTCACAGTGCGCATGGGGAAGAAACGGGAGAAACGGTGAAAGTGGCCTCTGGATCTTCTTCCAACAGCTTCTCCTCCGTCAATTCGTCCAGCTGCCGGGACGTGATGCGATCCAGGCACACCTGGTCGCCGTGCACGTGCGGCGCACAGGAGGCGAAGCTCGTGCCGCACAGGAGGCGGCCGCATGGGTGGAATGCAGATGTTTCCACCAGCGGAGGAGCTGGGACATGTTCACAGTGAAAATAAAAAGAAGGATCCCACCAGCGAAGGTGCAGATCGCCTCAAAATTCCGGACCTTCTTCACCCAAAAACCATTCCGGAGCTTTTTGGGGGACCAAACTGACCAAAATATCCCGTTTCCTCCTCACGATCCCGTTCCTCCTGCCTTGAGGTTCAACAAGTGGATCTGCGTCGAGAGGTCGCCCACCGTTGAGATGCTCAACTCACTGTGAGATCGATCGATCACGGCCTAGGAGCGGAGGAGTCGATGGGAGGACATCACTGGAATCATAGGACAAGGCCTAGGGGGGTCGATTGGATGGCAGGCCATCAGGTTAATCGTATACCGGATGAAATAATATGGTGGTTCACTTGCGAAAGTCCCCTCTATGAATCAACCCATAATGTAAAAGGCCATATCCCAGAGATCCCAGTCCATGGGGGCTTCCCGAACAAAAAAACACACAAAAGGAACGGAGTGAAGTATTGTATACTGGGATATATATATATATATGGCAGAGTGTCCGATGTTTGCCAGGTCACCACACTACTTAGATCTGTTTTTGTAGCGAAGAATTAGGAATCCATGTCAATCAAATACCCACAAACAGGAATGAGTCTAAGGTTCTTGGCCACAGCCTTCACTAGTCAAACAGCCAAATAGAGCAAAAGACATGAAAAAAAACATCCCGTCTTTCGGGATGCCGCCGCCAGCTCATGACGTTCCCGCATCGATCCGGTCGTCTTCGCGGCAGACCCAGTCGTCCCCTCCTCAGCCACCTCACCGGTCGCAGGTCCCGTCGCAGGTACCGTTCGATCGAGTATAAGCTATGACCTTCCACAGGGCGACCTCAAACCAGGTGAAGGGGACGATGACAACATATGACAACATATTACTGTACTACCTGGCATCGGAGGTGAAGCCGTTGTTGTTCTTCGAAAATGAAAACCTCCCGGGATCAAAAAGCACAACGGTCGCGTGTGTTTTTCGTACATCACGACGGTTCCGCGTCGTTCCGCTCGGTGACGCCGGCGGTGGTCTCCGCCGCTCGGCTGTTCCGCACTCCGCACTTCCTGGGACCCCCCCGCACGCGGCAACCTCTTTCGCAGTGTCAGGGTGGGCTCATGGACGGCTTGACACTTGTTGCAGGAGATGCAGCTGTGTCCCTCATTCCGCGTGTTTCCTGCGCGAGATGCTCACAAACCATGGAAGCAGGGTTCGGCAACTTGCTGAAGTGAACAGCTGAAGTTGCAGGATTCACCTGTTCTATGCAGCTTGCCAAGTGCAGCCTGTTTTGCAGCGTGAAAACTGCAACACCGATCGCGACAGGTGGAAAAAGGAAAAACCGGCCATTCCGCCCTCCGATAAATGAACTGAATCATCTTATGAACCTGAAAAAAGAAACACGTCACACTGAAGACATGTCTCTGGAACCCATTTATCAAAACACCACAGCACCACAAAACGAAGGTCACCGGGCCTATGGGGATGTCTATTCCGCTTCTTAAGAGGTAAGAGGTGAATTTCTTTCGTGTCCATGAAACCACGTGGTAGGTCCTGCGGTCTTGGTGTGGTAGGTCCCTGCGCCTGGGGAGTTCCAAAAAGGGCGGCCTTTTGATTCCAAACAGGGCGGCCTGGGCACGCCGAGCTCCGCAAAGTGCTCCCTGAAACCATTTTGGGGGACCCCCTGGCCAAAAAGACATCACTGACAGACCGACCGTTGATCTCTCCACTGAAATCTTCATGTTGCCACGCCACGGCCATGAACGAACGCCGAAAAAGAATACAAAACAAAAGAAAACGATCAAGAAAAGCAGACCGTCGCACCCACCCGAACATGCGCAGAACCCACCCGACCGTCACATCTGAACCAAACCACTCAGCGTCTTCCCCCCAGCGTCTTCCCCCCAGCGTCCCCTCCTTGGATCGAAGATCCGATGGCATCCCACACCGAGTTGAGCCAGCCGCAGTGGTTACAACGGCTTCGTGCATCCCGCAGCCCATAGACGTGGCCTCACCGCCCAGAAGCTGAGACGCAAGCTAGGTGTTTGACCTGCATCCCTTGCCTTGACTCAACCACCCAAAACTGTCACTCCAGTCACTAGTCACATTTATATTAGTTTGTATTTTCCTGGTTTTACATTCACTCCAGCGATTTTGGAGGTGATGTTGCGGTCGCCAAATCACCGGGTGGCTTTGGTCAAGGATAGGCCGTTTCGGTCACATTCGGTCCCTGAACCAGTTGGTATGTTTACCTACGGTGACTGTTGATATATATATATATTTCATTTCTTTAATGTAAAATATGAATATCAAAAGCACTGGCATGTGCATGATACACGCAGGTGGTGAGGGGTTTGGGAGTTGTCCAAAGGTAGTCGGTGGCAACGTTTCCGTGATCGCCAGCTGGGTGCCCAAGCACGACGCGGCCATCTCCAAATGCGGACCCTTCTGCCGCGGCTCTGTTCCCGCCTGGCGACGGAAGGCTCCCGAAGGCAGAAGGCGGTCAAACCGCAACGAGTTGCTGCCATGAAACGGCCTATCCAAAATGTGGTTCTACCAAAAATTGATGATACGTGCGCCTATGAACATATCTTTCGAAACATGGCTGCAATGTACAAAGGGACAAAGGGGCAAACCACCTGCCAGACCAATGCCAGCTTGTCAGACGCAGCGTTCGATCGTGTAGTTTGGGGGCAAGTCCACACACCCAAACTAAGCACAACCCAACTCACCAATGTATAGTGCGCAGGCACATCCCTGAGTCTGAACAACAGGACCGTTCTGAAGACATCGGAACTACGTAGTCCAGACCAGCAACATGTGCATTTACATAGTGTGTAGGTCGTTCTATATAGACTATAGACATGTCACCATTCATTGGATACTGTGCCTGAAGGACAAACGACGTAATCCAACACAAAGCAAAACAAATAACAGCAACCCAATCAAGCACGCACCCTTCGCGTGCGCGCCAGCTAACCGCTAACCAACCAACCACGCACCCAGCGTGCGCCCGGCCCAACCAGGCCCCCGCCGCGACGAGCTGCGCCAGGAAGTTGGGCAAGCGAGGCTTCAGTTGCTCCTGGAGGCGCGGCTCGAGGCGAGGCGCAACGAGGCACGCGAGGCGAAGAGGATGGCAGACGTCTAAACCCTTTCACACGTCTAGACTAGACTCTAAACGCGTTTTAGGACGGAGGACTCTGTAGAAGTTGAAAGGAATCCATGCGAGGCTTGTATTGTTACAGCACTCCATGGGACTGGAATATGTACCCCAAAAAACAGTCAAACCACGTCCAATGTATATATAATTAGTGTCTGTTATAAACGATCCCTTTGTTGGTTTCCATGAGCTGCTGCAAGAGCTGCTGCAGGACAAACAAATAGCGTTGTTCAGTAGGAAAGCAGTGAATCCAAAGCAACAGCTGCAGGAGGACGCGGGTGTTGTCTTGGTAACTGTGTCTTTCTGTTGAGGGAATATAAAGCCAAGAACCCAGGGAGTGTAAAGTGTGGACGCCCTTACAACGTCATTGTTCTGGATGAGTTTGCATTAACAGGAAATCACATTGCACGGGTTTTTCCTCACCAAAAAGGCTGGAAGGCAGCCACGGGTCTCAGATGCCACTGCAGCTTGGCACCATTTTTCCGCGTTCAAAGTGTTTGGATGTCCTTCAGCTTGGCAGCTTGGACCACAAGAAAACAGCTCAAGTCTGGCACCAAGGACTGGTGAAATAATGTTTTGATTAATAAACCCTACATGTAAAGGGGTTTGTCAATTTCAATGGGGTGGTCTACTAATCAAGAATCTACACTATGATTTATGATGAAATCGTTCTGGTCAAAAAGGATTAGCGAGTGACCATCTCCCCGTTGACCTTAGCTCCTTCTCCCGGAGTACCATTCTGGTTAATCGTGGACGTTTCCAGGCTGGAACTAGGGTGCAGCGTCCAAAGCATTCAAGTGTGTCCAAAGCGTCCTGTCCAAGGGGAGTTTCTCTAAATGTTAACTTGAGTAGCTTAAACCATCTTAAACCTATATAACCTGTATGAGCGTCTATCTGATGATATCTGATAAAGAAATCGACTGGCCACAGATTTCAACAGAAACGACAAGTGGGTTCAGAAATGCTCAATGACCAAATTGACCAAATTCAATCCAGGTCCCTTTCCCATCACAATCTTGGCTACAATCTTCCGCATCCCGCAGACGGTGTCGGTGTGTCTAAAAGATCCCAACATGAGGATTCCAGTTTGTACAGAAGAAGAGGGAACCCGAAAAAGGGATGTACCGAATCTTGGACCCCTCCGCTGTCAAACCCGACACAAAGCGCAGGAATTCCGTCATTGGTCTTTTGGACTCCAAATCATCGAAGCTGCATGTTTTCGAGCCTCACTCTCTTGGAATGTCTTTCACGCGCGACGGGGATGCGCGCGCGTTCGCGCACCTGTTTGCTCTTGGCCGCACTTGTGTCCATCCATGCACAATGATCACCTGCCCAGCTCAGGTCATGACCGTGAAAACGAAACAAAACAAGGAATCACCCTATACAGACCCTATGGTCTCCCATGGTCTTTCAGGAGTGATCTTGGACAGAAAGGACCCATGATCCAATCACCATTCCAAAATTAAGACGGATTCTTTTGAGGTCGTGCCGATCCAGGTCCAGGTGAGCAAAAAGGACCTTCCGTCCAGGAGGTGTCTACGCACAAGAGCCTCTCAGAGGTGATTCGGCGTGTCCAAAAATCACCGGGCTTGGAAGGTCCTGGTATATATTATACTATACCCTGGGAGTCAAAGACTATAAAAAGAATAGTCTTTAGGGGAACTGAAAGGGAACTTCCCTTACTTCAGCCGGTCAATAGAATAGTCTTTGGACTTCTAGGGTATATATATATATGGATAAATTTGGACCAAACTCATTTCGTTAGGTCTGCTCCGCACGCTTCCCGCTGTTTCTCCCGCAGCCTGCTGTTTCTGGGCTTGTTGGTGATCAAGATTTGGGAGGACATTCATTACAATGACAATTCCTTCAAGCACAATCCCAAGTTTCCCGAAGTACTTTGGCACTTTGGGACCCCCGCCCACCCTCGTAGGGGTGAGAGGGAGAGTGTTCAACATCCGTAACACGCACCCGTTCGATGCCGTTCTGCTCCTCCCTGCAGGTCAACCTCTTCGCTCTCTGGGAGGTGGACAACCCCCCCGGTGGACGACTAGTCGAACCAAAATCAAGACTCACATGTTCCCTTGTCCAAGAACCTTTACAAGAGGGCCTTGTGAATGGATATCCTGTTTTGCTCCCAGTCCGGTCTCTTCCATGTTTCCAGAATTCCTCTGGATCACCACCTTCGATCCCTTTGCGTAGCAAGGATGGCAACTCCTGCGCGAAGGAACGCCACTGCCAGCCACTTGGGAGGTCGAGTGCTGGGGCTGAGTGGTTATGTGACCACTCGAGTTTGACAAATATCAAACTAAACCTATACTTAATAGAAAACAGACTGATAGAAAACATGCTACTAAGTAGCATGTTTTTTGAGTAGGCCCATAAGTTCTATGTTTATATGTTTTTCTCTGAGTTCCACCCCCTCTTGATGGAGGCCTAGCATCGTATTATCTATTTGATCAAGCTCCGAGATTTCAGAGAGTCATCGGAATTTGGGTGTATTTTTTGCGAGGACCCCCAAAATGGCCGGGCTTTGTCCCCCCACCCCGTCCAACGCTTTGTTGCTGTGACATCTGGTTGTGACTACCATTTGGATAAACCGATCTTGATGGATTGGAATGGAAACGACACGTTCCACCACATGCGCTGCCGTATGGCGACCAGGTCAACTTCGCAGAAAAAGATCTTCCTGAGTCGAATGAGTCTCTTCCTGCATATCGGACCTAGGATATGTCCGGTGTCCGGTGTCCGGCGGCTTCAATCTCTAGTTTCACCCCTTCACCCATCCTTGACGCGGCCCCGGCCCTGGTCCAAACAAGGCCACCATCCTCCCATCCGTATATGTTGGCGCAATGGGGGCCATGGGGATCGCCGGTTCCTCCTGTGTTCCTTCGTTGATCCTTCGTTCTCCTCCAGCGCGCTGGGGATCGCCGCCAGAAAATAGCGCAAAGCATCTGGTGGTAAATGCTTCGAGCCTGGTAGAGCGGTACCAAAAACACCCTCAACACAGGGGTGCCCTGGCTGGAAATCCAGGCCGTACGTAGTGTACGTTTTGAGCTTTAATTATGGGGACCCCGAAAGGAAGGTGCTAGTATAAATGTATAAATGCACAACTTAGAGTTTAGACGTGACTAGCTACGTGAGTATTGACTCTTGACTGAGAAGGTGTCGTTGTTTTTTCTGGCGCCGGGGAGTATCGGGGAGTGCCTGGGAGTGCGGAGGCAGAATCGGATGGAACATCATGGAACGGTGCTTCAACCGTTGGGAACCGTCAGAAGAACAGTCGCACCGTGGGTGGCGCAGGGCCAACACCGTGGGCCGCAGGGCGGGCGTTTTCGAGACCTGCCCGGGAAGGCATCATGCGACCAACGATGCCAGACGTGGTATACAGACCCCTTTTTGGGGCTCCAAGTAATTACCTTCTGAGAAGGTGGGACTGGGGTGGGTTTAACGGGTCCAATCATACCTTCTGAGCAGGTAGTTCAAGTAGTAGGGTACACCAACCTTGCTCAAAGACTTACCTGCTCGCAGTTGCGGTCGACCTCGGATCTATTCACGATGTCCCAAACTCCGAAGCTGCTCCCTCCTTCAGAACTGCACATCTTCCGACCGCCCCGATGTTCCCTCGGACCCCTCAGCCCGCCGCTGTGTTCCGAAGTCAACGTCCGGCCGGCGGAGTGCGCCGTCACGTGGGGCAAGCGCAGGGTCACGGACCTCTCGGGGGCCGCGGTGGGCCATCGCAATGGACCGAAGATCGAGAAGAAGAAGGAGCCAAAGGGGGGGGGCAATGGGGGAACTCAAGATCTGTACATCTGCGGATGTGTCGGCCGTCTGTCCTCTTCACATGAATTCGTGCACGAAACATAAGAAGCCTGGGGGGCTTTCCAAAGGACCTTGTGATCCACAGGGCGGTTGACAAAATAGAGATTTAAAAAAACATGAAAAAACGGCGATCTGCGGTTGGCTGGCTTTTTAAGGCAACAAACCAAGAGTTTTTTTGAAGACAATTGGAGAGGCACACCATAGATCGTGCTGAAGGAATAGAAAGGCGTGCGTTGGTTTTCGGTTCTTCGCATCTTCGGCGAAGAAAGCGCATCGGTTCGTCCACTCACCGGGCGCTTTTTGCTTAGACCGACATGGCTGCCCACTCATGGCTGCCCGGACGCTCATCCACCCGAGCATTGACGTCAACGGACGGAGGGCTTTGGGGGTCGAAGCGGCGGTCGGCGGCCGGATCTGGTCGACCCCGAGGAGTTCGTTGATTGAACAAATGGTAAGGAAAAATCGGGAAAAGACACCTTGGTGTTCTTGGGAAACTAAGGGTAATCCAGGATGAGACCATCTTGGATCATCTTGGACAGGACAGGACGTGAAAACAGTGGTTTAGGGACACCAGGGTCATTACTTTTGGACGGATATACCGTGCGCCTGCAATCCAATTGCAGCAGCTATAGGGGACTATATATAACTTATCCATCCAAGTTCCACTTCGTACAGCGCGTCCTTTTTTCGTCGAGTCTCAGCCATTGGCTCCAGTCCATCGTCTCCCACGATCATCAGCCCATGATCCCTCAGACTCCTTACTGTGCCCATTCACTGAGTGAGATGCCTCACCATGCGCCCATCCATTCTGACCATTGGCTTGCGGCACTTGCACCCGCGACTCCGTCTGCACCGGGCCCGGCCGTTCGAGCACTTGGAAGAGCGTCAAGGGCGGCGTCGCACGCCTCGAGGGAGCCGACTTCGCCGTGGGCAGCACCGGCCGATCCGATAGCCGCTCCCAGCGCACCGCCCGCGACGCCTCTGGCTCGGGGCTCGCCGTCCGCGGCGGCGGCATGAGCGGCGCTCGCGGCACCAGCGGGGGTGGTGGCGGTGTGGGCACCACAGGTGGCGTAGGTGGCGTAGGTGGCTTTGGTGGTAGGACTGGTTCCGGTACCTTGTTGGGATCTGCTTTCAGCTTCTCTTGAGGCTGGACAGGCATGGCTTTGGGTTCAGGCTTGCGCTTGGCCAACCACGGTGGAGGAGGTTCAGATGGTGGCACTGGGCCATTGACCTTCGGCCTCACGGGTGCTACCGAGTCGACCTCGCAACTCGCTGACCTGGCCGTTGCAATGAAGCGGTCAACGGTCTCCCGCTTCTTCTTCCTCAGAAAAGCGAAGATCCCAAGGATGTCCAAGGGGATCTATGGCATTTGGGATAGGCCCATCCCTACCGAAACTGCGGGAAGTTCAACCCATGCGAATTCTCTGCCACTCTTTTACTCAGCAAAGGGCCAGGGGGGTTGGCAGGTTTGGCCGTTCCTTCTGGCCCCTGGGCCCGAAACCGGTTGAGACATCACGACTTCGGCGCGTCCACGTAGATAGGGCCATCCTTCCCCACCCACGACCAGGCGCGGCGGCGTCCCCATCTCTTCCCCCATCGGCGAGAGACCTGGAGTTCGGTAACATCCGCAGCGTGGACTGAGACCCCGTGAATGGTCCGAGACCGGAAGCATGACCGAGACTGCGACGAGACCGCAGCACACCGCAGACCCTTCAATCTCATTCCCAAAAAAAGACTGAGATTGTGACCCCCCCTGGACCTGCGACCGAAGGAACGTCAGAAACCGAAGGAACTCAGAAACAGGGCAAGATTTGGGAGGCCAAACTGTCCAGCTGTTCTTTCTGGAAGGTTCTTGTGTACATAGGTACACTCACCCAACCTATGCTCACCCACAGTCCCATAGTAGTCAGTTGATTTCGAACTCGTGAGCTCTGTATGGGCTTGGCTTCCGTGAAGCCATCGCCACACAGGTGATCGCTTCTTTCAACGCCTCCTGACCGGTCAGAGCGCACATGCCGACCCCCCGGAGTCACGGGACCCACCCAGATTTGGGTTTGGACAGTAGATCCACCACCCGTCTGGGTTGCCTATTTCAACCGGATTTGGTGTAGCGCATCTCAGGGAAGGTCTCCCTGGCGCCGAAACAGGGTCGACGATTCGGAACCGAACCGAGCCACCCGAGCCACCCGGGCCACCCGAGCCACCCGGGCCACGTGCCAGGCTCGGGTCTTCGAGGTTCTCGGGGACTTGTGAGTCGGTCTCACGTCAAAATACACACCTATCCCTAGAGCTCCAGTCGTACCTCCTGAGAAGCTGGGACTGGGGTGGGTTTTACGGGCCCAGTCATACCTTCTGAGGTACGACTGGAGCCCTAGGGTATATATATGATTATATAACAGAGTCTCCTTTCTAAGTTGGAGGACCCTTCGGACGTCGGCGGGTTGGAAGACGGTCTAGCCACAAGCTATATCCGTGTCCGCGCAGGCTGAAACCCGGGGTAACCGAGGGGGGTGTCCAATACCTGTGAAATCTGTTTTACATCACTGTACTGTACAAGTCCGTGTTGTTTAAGGTCGCGTGCTGGAAATGATGCTTTTTCCAAGGCCCTGGAGGGATAGAAAAACCAATTGCAACCTGTCTCATGTCTTTATGGCCAATCCTGAAACTCTCAGCTGAGCTATACATGCTACAGTCATATATAGGAGAACTCTCAGCTGAAATATCTGAAATCCATACCGCTTCGGACCAGGTCGGTAATAGGCACCCGTCTTCTGTTTTTCACCACCAGCCAGCCATCCCTGAAAAAGAGCAGTGACACGGGGAGTTGTAGTTCCCTGTTCCGTCCCAGCACTGACATCCTCATTCTGGGCAAAACATCGAAAAGGTGGGACACAAAACACTTGTGACTTGCCCCAGAGAGATTGAGGAGGGGGCTTGACCAAGCCATGGGTGTTTCTTCCTGATTCCTGTGGATTTGGACCACTCCGTTCACCGGAAGATCTCCTGAAACGCTTCGTAGGCCTTCTCCCCCACCGAACGCAGGTCCTGCCGAGCCAAAATGGCCGGTGGTGATGGGATGGAAAAACAGCACCACCCATTTGATCCGGGCGATTGGATGGTAAACTGGTAAATACTGGTCGGTTCGGGCCCTTGGGGTCCTATCAAACTCTATCAACCACTCAAACGGGTCTATCAAACTCGCAAATATTTATATCCAAAGAAGCACGCAAAAACATGTTCTGCCATGCCGGAGGCACAATATAACATATGGAATATGTTTTTCCTTGGCTCTTTTCCAGCTCAAAAGTCAGATTCAATCAGCACACCTGGCCGGATATCAAATACGATAAATCGTGTGTGTGTATGCGTGTATATATATATATATATGTGACAGGCTCGGTTTTGAGTGCTTTTATGCGGTTCTTACCGCAAACTGGTTGGGAATGGAGACGCGAGGAACTCATCCCAAAATGGAACGTAACCAACTGAAAGTGCCTCCCCCACAAAATCAAGTCGCAAAACAGGAATTGACGACAGCTGTGGACTTCTTCAATGTCCGCCCCATTCAGTGGTTTCTTGTCCGGTCGCCGAGGTCATTTAGTCAAAGCAGTACGATTTTTGAAGAGAGAGTTACATGCTGGCAGGGGATCTAGGCTTGGAATATTCTTGAGCAGGCACTCTAAAGTGTAGTAGGATACTTCTCAACAACCTAAGAGGCCGTACATTCATCATTATATAGTTGCTACTATTCATACTGTTCAAAGAAGCCCCGGCAGCACCTACAGTATCTCTCTGGCTGAAAAAACATTGCAAACAGTGATTGAAAGTACCGTAGGAATCCGTAGGATATCTGGTCATACTCAAATCCTCAACATGGATCCGATGCGACCTGCTTTTCGTTCCCAAACGGAGCGTTCCCCGCTGTTCCGCTCAGTTCGGGGCTCCACCGGTCGGCCGAATCGGAGGAACGGGAGCGAACGGGGAGACCAACTCTCAACGAACGGGAGCGGACGGCCTGGAGCCGGAGCCAGTTCAACTCATCCGGTGTCCATCTCCGCCCGAAATCGGGTATGTGGATCCATAGGGATACGGAAAAGGAAAAAAGAAAAACCTGCTCTGACGGAGGTCACTATAAAGAAAAACCGTATCATACCGTATCCAGATTCTGCCAATGTAGAGAATCCGGAACGAAACATCGATTTAGGCATGTGCTCCCTCCGTGTTAGGTTGGTGTTAGGCTTGATGTTGCTCCGATGTGCGTGGAAAAACGGGTCTGCCAACGATCTGGAGCCATGTTTCTGGCCTGTTTCCCCTCCATGCCCCTCCAGCCCCATGCCGTTTCCATGCCCCTCCATGCCGCGCATGTCTCTCCTCCAAAAGGGGCATCAGCTCTTTTCGGTCATGTTGCATCAGCAGAAAGCCAATGGCCGCATGCGGCTGACGCCAAGCAGGAACCGATAAGTGGAAGGGCCCACAGTCGCAGGCATCCTGGGAGTCGGGCGAGACGTGCGTAGGGAATGAGGGGATGAGGGAGGTTTCGGCCCCAAGAGAAATTCCTTTGGATCCAGCCACCCTCAGCCACCCTGCTTTCATCGCAGTCAGTCGATGGTCTGTTCACTAAGAACCCACACACATTCATGTTCTTCCGCTTCTCCTCAGATGTTTTTGTAAACCAACCCCGTAGGAGTTCAGGAACAAAGTTCCAAAACCTGGCGGGTGCAGTGAAGGATCAGCAGTGCATTGGGCAAAGAAACACACCCTTTTTTTCATCATGGTTTGAAGGTCCATCGTGATACCTCGAAGATCAATTGAACATAGGATGTTTGGATATCTTTGGGTAAGCCCATCCACCTCTCTGATCCTGCCCGAAGTTCTTGCATGTTGTTCTTCAAAACTTATGATTTATAGGATCCCCCCAGCTGCCCTGTCCTTCTTAAGGCCATGCAAACTCACACTTCGCCGACCAACGTGCGTCCGGGCTTCGAGATGTCTTCTGGTGGGTTTTGGGCAGTCGATAGTCTAAAAATCAAGTTTTGCAACGAGAATGTTCGTCAACAAACCAATTGACACCCCCGCAAAAGCCTGGAGAATCACAGTGGTAGTGGTTCTCTTAGAAGGACATGTGGGTATGATTCTTGCAGGTTAGTTGAGGATTCTGGGTGACATGCTGGGATGATCTACAAACAATTCTTAAAGAAGTCCAAGACTGAAACGGGACATGCCAAGCGGTGTCAAAGAAGTATGGACGCACCACAGTGGCTACCTCACGTTCGGGTACTCGGTGGTGAATCGCACGGTGGTTCGTTGATGTTCCAATCAGTGGTGAACGGCACATTTGGGAGGCAGGAGGCATTCGGCATCTTAAAGACACATCCAGGTCAACAAAAACTAAGTTCACCTGCTTTTAGGGAGGTTTCCACGACCACAACCGATGTTGAATGAATTGGCCCGTAAAAGGATCTGGGTTGATGCGGACCTGGGACTAACAACCAACCAGGGTTGGTATAGAAGCAACCCGTCTAAACACGCATCTGCATCTTGCTACACAACATCTCATTCCAATTCACATCGCCTTCAGCGATAAAACCATCACTCATCATCACAACCAGCCTGGAGGAAACCAAACCACCTAATTACTTAGTTCTAGCAGTTAATCCGTGGAAACAAATTGGCAGTCTGCAAAATGTTGTAGGCAATTGAATTGAACATTATAGCAAACCGACAACTCCTTCCAGAGTCAATATGCAGGTCAAACCTGTTTGCTTCAATATCAAACCAAACACGTTCTAAATTTTCCAAGATGCTGCGTATATAATATACAAACAAAAACATTTACTGTACAACCATTTACGGTTGAGTACAGTTTCCTCCACATCATTCGACGAATATAGACACCAGCGCGTCAACAAATATATCAGCAAATTCTGACCCGAGCACATGGCGTACCCAAATTCATTGCTCGATTGTGCCAAGTTTCTTTCGCAATGCATGCCCGCTGCAGGCGATCGAAATCCCGTGCAGCGGCATCCGATGCAGCCAGTATGACGATGACGTGTCGGATTTCCTCTTTCTCATGCTTGAAGAATTGCATTGGCATGCCGAAAGGTACCACGGGGATTCCATCCTGGCAACGGATGCTCAACTGGAGTTGCCCCCCATCCTAACTGCAGCATGCAGTAGGTTTGGACGTTAGGCCGGGTTTTCACCAGGTAAGTAACAACAGCAACATGATGGTTATTATTGTGAGAAATTGTGATGCTGTTTGTCCTGGCCCATGCTTTGCATGGCACCGGAATACTTTGGGGAACTTGGGGAACGTTTGCATCAAATTCCTACCTGCTAGGCTACTGAAACCATTATCACCCCTATCTGAAGCAATAATGATGTGCCATTATCACCCCTATCTGCAGTACTGGCATGACGGATGAAACCAGAAACCACATAAACCACAAGCCAGCACATTCCCCGCAACAACGGGGGGGCACGAACCACGCCTTTGCTGTATGCCAGCACACGAAGTAAGTCAGCAACAACTTAAGTAAAAAGTCATGAACACGAATTCCAAAAATCAAAGTTGTGAAATGTTTTGCCGAAAACCCTAAACACATGAGATTCCGCAATGGTCTCACCTGCACCCGCCAAATCGTAGAATGCGTTCAGGTGCAGTGCTAAACATGAAAAATGTTTAGCCGATGTCCTCCTGCACGAACACCAGCGCTGTCTTCCCGTTCTCCGCGTCTGCCATCTGCCGTACTTGCTGCGCAAAGCCCCGCAGCCACTCGACGGCATGTTCGACCTGGCCGCTCGTGCTCTGCCCCCACTCATTGACACTTGGCCAAACAGGCTATCTTAATTCTTAATCAAAGGAAACTTTGAAGGGAATCTTCCGAGTTACGAAGAGAGTTACGGCAAAACACATCCCGGCAAGAGACCCCAAACAGTGTGTGTGTGTGAGGTCTAAAGGTGTAGCAGCAGAAAGTCTAGAGATCTACACGCGGCCGTGGTGGTGAGTGAGTGAGTGTGACTGCGAGTGTGCGTGGGAGTGAGAGAGTGAGTGTGAGTGTGACAGTGCGTGTGAGAGTGAATGTGAGGGTGAGAGTGAGAGAGAGAGGGCGGGAGGGCGGGCGGGCGGGCATGGGTGGGTGAGTAAGTGAGTGAGTGTGAGTGAGAGCGTGAGTGAGAGTGAGAGTGTGAGGAGTAGAGTGTGAGGAGCGCGCGCGTGAGTGTGAGCGTGAGCGAGAGTGAGTGTGAGAGCGTGAGCGTGTGTGAGCGTGAGTGCGAGCGACACTGAGAGTAAGAGAGTGAGAGTGAGCATCTGAGAGCACAAAGTGCTGCACTTGCCACGAAATCTGCACTCTGAGGTTCACAAAGTGCTGCGCCCGCCGGGAAATCTGCGCATCGAGGTTCACCAAGCGCTGCGCCTGCCACGAAATCTACACTTCGAGGTTCGCAAAGTGCTGAGCCTGCCACGAAGTCTACACTTCAAGGTCAAGGTTCACAAAGTATTGCACCTGTCACGAAATCTGCACTTGGGAGTTCACCAAGGGCTCCGCCTGCCACGAAATCTACACTTCGAGGTTCGCAAAGTGCTGAGCCTGCCACGAAGTCTACACTTCAAGGTTCACAAAGTATTGCACCTGTCACGAAATCTGCACTTGGGAGTTCACCAAGCGCTCCGCCTGCCACGAAATCTACACTTCGAGGTTCACAAAGTGCTGAGCCTGCCACGAAGTCTGCACTTCGAGGTTAACTACTGTGCCTCCCACGAAATCTGCACTCCGCCTGCCACGAAATCTACACTTAGAGGTTCACACAGTGCTGAGCCTGCCACGAAATCTGCACTTCGAGGTTAACTACTGTGCCTCCCACGAAATCTGCACAGCGAGGTTCACCAAGCGCTGCGCCTGCCACGAAATCTGCACTTTGAGGATCACAAACTCTGCCACAAAGTATGCACTTTGAAGTTCACAAAGTGCTGCGCCGCCTGCCACGAAACCTGCAAGCGAGCCACATGTCCAAAAGTCACGATTCACAGCACCTGTCACGAAATCAGAGCGCATCGAAAGATCACCACCATGTCCATAGTACTGCACCTGTTGCTTTCGAAGTAAAAACGCTCCGATCCCTTGCGCCTGTCATGAAAAGTCGACTTTGGACCAACAAAACGCAACGGAAAAGACATTGGGAGCCTGCGCAATCAAAATGCACTTCGAGGATTTCGACTGGCCACTTCTGAGTCCAGCTCCGAAAGGCTCTCCCGCACTGGCCACTTCTGAGTCCAGCTCCAAAAAGCTTTTTCCCGCACTACATTTGTACTACAAACCAGCTCCGAACAGCTCTTTCCCGGACTACATTTGCACTACAAACTGGCCACTTCTGAGTCCAGCTTCGAAAAGCTCTTTCCCGTACTATATTTGTACTACAAACTGGCCACTTCTGAGTCCAGCTACGAAAAGCTCTTTCCCGCACTACATTTGCACTACCGAGCGTTTCGTACGAGACTTCCTCCAAAAGTGAAGCGCCAAGTCTCCAAAACGAACGTTTCGTACGAGACTTCCTCCAAAAGTGAAGCGCCAAGTCTGCAAAACGAATGTTTCGTATGAGATGTCCTCCAAAAGTGAAGCGCCAAGTCTCCAAAACGAGCGTTTCGTACGAGACTTCCTGTCCAAAAGTGAAGCGCCAAGTCTCTAAAGCCAGCGTTTCGTACGAGACTTCCTCCAAAATTGAAGCGCCAAGTCTCCAAAACGAGCGTTTCGTACGAGACTTCCTCCAAAAGTGAAGCGCCAAGTCTCCAAAACGAGCGTTTCGTGCGAGACTTCCTCCAAAAAAGTGAAGCGCCAAGTCTCCAAACCGAGCGTTTCATACGAGACTTCCTCCAAAAGTGAACCAAAACGAGCGCTTCGTACGAGACTTCCTCCAAAAGTGAAGCGCCAAGTCTCCAAAACGAGCGTTTCGTACGAGACTTCCTCCAAAAGTAAGCGCCAAGTCTCCAAAACGAGCGTTTCGTACGAGACTTCCTCCAAAAGTGAAGCGCCAAGTCTCCAAAACGAACGTTTCGTACGAGACTTCCTCCAAAAGTGAAGCGCCATGAAGTCTCCAAAACCAGCGTTTCGTACGAGACTTCCTCCAAAAGTGAGGCGCCAACTCTCCAAAACGAGCGTTTCGTACGAGACTTCCTCCAAAAATGAAGCGCGACCGCGCATCCGACACGCACGATCTCCGCAGAGGGTTGCACACGCCCCGGCACAATCGCAGTTTCGCCTAGGTTTCGCGCATCCGACACGCACGATCTCCGCAGAGGGTTGACGTTCGTGATGGTCCGCCGGGCCTGCCCCCCGCCTTAAGAGAGAAAGAATAAGGAAGATAGATGTGAAGATGTGAGAAGATGTGAGATGTGAGATATGAGAAGATGTGAAAGAAGATGTGAGATGTGACAAGATGTGAGAAGATGTGAGATGTGAGAAGATGTCAGGTTTGAAGATCTTTTATATGTAGATCTATTTACACCTCCTTTTTTTTGAAGAACCCTTCGCTCAGACGCTCTCGGGAATTACTGTAAATAGCAACGAAAAAGGCGGACACGTCGGTGGAACACCGGTGCTTAACTATGACCGTAAGAACCCCCAGTGTGTCCACACAGTTTGGGGAATAAAGTCGCAAGTGGCGTGGGTATGATCGCGCGCGTATTTTGAAAAACAACAGTCTCGGGCAGAATGGTATAGTCTGGAAAAGTCGCTGCGTTGCGGTGGCATGTGTTCTGGAAATACTGGTTGTTGGTTGTTGTTGTTGCCGGCGGGCAGGAAAGAAAACTTCGTCAGGGCTGCGTAGGAGACCCCACGGCTTGGCCGAGAAGAGCTGAGGTTTCACTTGACAAACCGTTTTGGAGAAGTGTCAGGGCTGCGCAAGGAAGAGTTGAGGCTTCACTGGGGATGACTTGGGTAGTCCCTGACGGCCCTGACAGCCCCAAAGAAATCAAATGGTTTTCTACGCCCTGCGAGGCTGCACCAGGAACAGTGCCAAGCTCAAAATTGGCGACTGATTCAGCTTGCGACTTTCTAGTATAGAATGGCTTCTGGCAGCTCTTTCACTCACCTATAGGCTATAACTTTTGAAAACTTCCACGAACCGGCTCTGCCGGGGGAATACCTCGGCTACAAGTCATCAATCTTAAGAAGAGGTTTACGTGGACACCTTCAGGCCCACAGCGTGGTGCAACTCCGCTGCAAACAACAACATGCCTACTCATGCCTCATTTCTTTGGTGAAGTTGGTGCGGTATGGGCAAGCATGCACATGCACTTTGTAAGCCGTACCACACAAGCGCACAGTCACTAGCAATCCCGGGATACCTCCAGTGAGGCCGCGCAGGCCAGAAACAAAAAGGGCAAAGCCATGACAGGGACTGGAAACACCTCCTGCGTCAAGGCTTTGCACCCTTTTGGTGGAATGGCCATGATCCAATGCGCCAACTTGGGCGAAAAAGCAGCAAGCACCAGCAGCGCCAGCTGCAAGACCATGCGAACATCCCCGCTCAGAGTTCGTGCTGCCATTGCTGGTGCTTGCGTCCTCTTGTCAAGCCGCGAGCTACTCTTGGGCTGGCTTGGGCCAATACTTCCAAGCAACAATTGTTCAGGCGCTCTTGCGTTGCAACTTTCTTTTCTTGTTCCTTGTCATGTCTGCTGCAGGCGCTCATTTTCGACGGTTCAACCACCAGCTTGCAAACTGCAGAATTCAGATGCTCGCAAGAATCCTGCTCACTGCGCCGCGCACTGAGATGCACCATGGATGCGGAGTGTCTTGACGCATCGCCACTGGCATCAGCAAGTTGAGCCTTGGCATGTGACTATCTGTTCACACTACAGCTGGCAGGCCATGCAGGGGGCAGTTTCAAGACCCGCTTCCAAATGCGCCAAGGTGCGAGAGTCCTTGACCAATGTGAAGCCTGTCCCGCCACCACTCGTGGACCCACCTTGACTGAAAGGTTTTGAGGGGCACTTCCATTGACGGGAAACAAAAAGCATGAAGATAGGGGAACATTTGCACGTTCAATAAACAAACGAAAAAAACAAGAGTGGCCAAATGGATTTCCCATTTCAAGCAAACATCAACAACTATTGCACGGGAAACCTACCACAGCGTTATGAGCCCTGACTGCCTGCCATGTGAGCCAGCTGATGAAGCAGGGCTGAAACGTCTGCCCGTCTGCGTCTTGTAGGCGCCTGCAAAGGGTATGGCTCTTGCTGAAGAATGCGCTCGGAGAATCCAGAAAGCAAAGAACCAAAAAAGTCTTCCCCCAGCACGCTGAGTCTACTAAGAGCAAGTTACAAAAAGTATCAGCCAATGGGCCAATAGTCGATCGTAGCAGGCCGGCCACACAACTCATCTTAAAAATTTCAGGCTGTGGGCGCTCCCGCAAGCCCAGCAAGCCCAATGTCGGTGTCGAAGGCAGCTTCAAAACATACTGACAAGTGACAAACTCATGGTACAACCGAACCAAACCCTAGAGTTTTGGCCAACCGTGCAAGCTCAGGCGCCGGAGCAGCTTTGCACTGGCAGCTGTCAGGGTGAAAGTCATTGGGCTGTGAGACTTGGACCATGCAGCAGAGCATGCGTTTTCAGGCTGCCAAAGCCTGTCACCCACACATAGAAGACAGCAGACCCGGTCCTTCGCCATAGGGATTTCCGTCCACGAAGTGGCCATCCTCACCAGCAATGGCACAAAAAGCCTGTTGTAGTTTATGCCTGCCCTTCCCTACTTTCAGCAAAAGACACCTGTGAATGAATGAAAATGGCGCATTTCTGCTTCTTGGCCCAGGTGTGCGCGGGCGCTCTAGTTTTCCAAGCCTCACCTTGCAACGGTCACAGCCGGCCGAGCCTTGCTCACCTTTCCTTCATTTGTCCTGCTCTCCTTTTCTTCACACTCCTGCCTGGCAGGGTGCGCCAGGCTTCAGCTTCAGCAGGTTACCGAAAGGAAGTTGGGCGCCAACAATGGGGTTAGAAAAGAATCAAAAATGCTCAAAGAAATGCCGACATTTCTGCACACCTCAACCAGCAAACAGAACGCATTCCTGCGCACCTTCATACAAGCATCGTTTTCCTCGTGAATGCGGTCGGCCGCCGTACATACCAGCAAGCAACCTGCAACTGCAAGAAAACACGGACATCCACATACAGTGTTTAACACTGACCTACCTCTCCACTCACCGACCACACATCACGCAAGAATTGCTGCACCTACTTCCTCACCCATCAGGGCCATGGCCATCACCGAAAATGAGAAAGGAAGAGCAACTGAAGTGATACACACCACCCCATGATGTTCAAATCAAGGAAACGAACCACCCATGGGACGACGTAGTCGTGATTAGAAGTAGCTGCCACGAGACAATGCGAGGGCGCAAGTCTGCCTGCTCCTTCTCTTCCCATTGTCTTTTCTAGGGTATGGCACAAGTGGCAGCTCCAACTTGGGCCACTGAGCCTACCACGGCTGTGGCTGAATCCGACGAGACTGATTGTTTCGATGCTTCAAGAAACAATGCCTCACCATCCATTGTTGGTCGTCAGGGCTCCTACATCCTCTCAATCGTCTCTATTGTTGGAATGAAATGCTGGAAGGTAGTCCCTGTCCACTTGCAACGTATTGCGGAACTATCAGGATGCCACCGGGCGTGTCTTTACAACTTGGACGCCCTTCCGTTTTCTTGAGGTTGCTTAAGGCTCCCGGTCTTGCTTGCATTGCGGATCGTTTGCAGCTTCTATGCTTAGTCAAGTGAAAACCCTTCTAAACCGCAAAGAGGAGAACACAGACAGACAGAGAGAGAGAGAGAGATAGGCGAGAGAGAGAGAGAGAAGAAGAAGAAGAAGAAGAAGAAGAAGAACAACAACAACAAGAAGAACAAGAAGAAGAAGAAGAAGAAGAGCGGAGAGGGAGAGAGGCAGAGACACAAAAAGAATGCCAAGCGTTGGTTTGGGCAGGCGGCCCTGGCAACAGTCGCGCTTCCACTCTGACTCTCACCCGCGCCTTCGATTGCAGCAAAGAGCCGAGCACAATTACCTGCTGGCGCTCGCTTGTGATTGCTTTCTACGTTAGCACTAGTGAAGAAGGCTGTAGCTATCTGGCTTCATGTATCAGCATTGCTTTTCCCTCAGTGTGAAGGAGGTCCATGACATGCCCCGCATGGCCAGGTCATATCAGCATCACAGGCTGCGTCGCATTGAAAAGACAATCTTTCACCGACCCATGAACGGAAACAGTCCTTCCGAACTGCAAATTCAATTGCCTACAGACCAATGCGCCCCACAGTCCAACCATGTTGACCAAGCGTCGAGATGTGACTGGCTATAGCAACAAATATTCAGGGTTGATACGAACACAATAGCTGCAAGCTGTTAGAGAACGGAGAAAGGCTGAGCCCTCAAAGTCAGGCAACAATAGGCAATAAAAACATGAGGACGTGTAAGGTAGTGTTCTCCCCTGCGCAGCAAGAAGGCAACATCCTGCAAGTATTCCAATCAATTTCAACACGGAATGGCTCCAAGTGGCTCTATATGGTCCTGAAAGAGCTTCATATACCTTAAATATTCGATGCGCTTCCAAGAGTCCTGTGGTCGCCGCTGCCAAGCGACTGCTTCCATTGAACCCCAAACTGGCCACCAAAGAATGACCTCGAAAGTCCATGTCCTTAGAGCGCTGTCCGTGTCCATGTCGAATGTCCATACTTGTTCAGCATGCTGACAACATGTGATGCATGAAGCATTTTTGAGACTTGTCTCTCTCTTCATCCGAGCAATGCCTTTCCCGCCAGGTGACGGTGCCCATGTGACCTTCCAGGACCTGGATGCAGCGACCTTCCCAAAACTTGATGCCTCCAGGCAGCAAGCACTCCTGGCACCATGCCAGATGCCAGACGTGCATGTTGGATGAAAAGAAACTGAGATAGAAAACGAAACGCCAATCTCGAATAAAACAAAAAAATAGCCCAAAGTCTCAGTGGGTTTCTGCTAAGGTCCTATGAAGGTAACGACTGAAAAGCCCTTTGTGGATTAAGAAAGCGTTGAAGACCGAGCGCAACCGCAGTTGCATTGAAGGCTTTCCTAGATTGTCCACGCCAATTGCTCTGAACAGCACAAGGCCCGCGCGCCTCCATCTTCCCCTCCTGCCAGCAGCGCTGAGTGCAGGTGCGAGCCGGGCCACTCGGCGAGAGGTCTTGGCCTCCAAACAAAGGCGGATGAAATGATACGCTTGTCCTTGAAGATGTGTACTGCACTGACAATGAACCCCTCTGTGATAAAATTTGGACTGCTTGTGAAACTCTCAAGGAAATTACTCACACTCCACCATCTACCACAAGATGTGCCCAGCCCCCCTGTGAGGCAGTTTGTTCCGCAGAACCCCACCTGACAAACTTTTCCGTTTTCTACAACGCGTAAACACAAATACGCGGCTCACAGTCCCCCTGCACCCCATCAGAACGTTGAGTCTCGTAGCTCGCGGAACACCGAGCAATGTCCATTGCAGATTCTGACAAAGCTCAGTTAAGTTGCACTAAAGCATCAAGCTTAAACCATCTAGTTAGCTTGCGTTGGTATAACAAAGTGAAAGATCAATCCGTCAATCTTGCCATACCCGGTTAAGAAGATTCACAACCAAACAAGACGCAACCACAGGATGTTGGTGGCAACTTTGGGCTTGGCACATGTCTATTAAATAAACATCGACCTCCAACTGAATAGACTCGCTCAACTGAATTCTTTGCTCTTCCACTCCCGGCCTGCTCCACAACCTTCGTGTCTTTCATCTGCTTTCGCGGTGTGAGCACCTAAGTCGGAGCCAAAGACGCCCGCGAGTCCTATCGACTCCTATGTTTGTGTATGTATGTATGTATGTATGTATGCGTGTATGTATGTATGTATGTATGTATGTATGTATACAAAAAGAGAGAGAGATAGAGAGGGTAGAAAGATTATCGTATCACAAACATGAAGTCTGTTTAGGGATGTTTAGGGTCCATCACGCTTTGCTTGCCAAGCTTTTTCTTTGCCAATGTTAAGGCATTTGATCCGTCTGCTTTCATCGTTTTCGATGTTGTCCTCCTTCTGTATTTGGAACAGTTTGGAAGCATCGCATGTTGTGCACCTCTAAAGCTTTGAGGTGACTTGCAATCAGAACACGGAAATATTGAGGGACCAGTTTGTGAACAGCCATTGCAACCGTACGAGACTAACCCGGCGGAACGCCAGCAACCTTGCACGTTTTTCCACGCGTTTCATGTCCTTTCTGCCAGCGGTCAAAATTGATTGTAAAAGGGGTAGACCATGAACAGCGACCAAAACAGCCACCAACTGCAACTGCAGAAGCTTCAACTACCACTTCGCCCACCCACAGCGACAATGAAATGGAATGCGCAGTCATGGGTCATGCTGTTGTTCCATCACGCAAAATGTTGACAGTGGCCGCGTGCCCTCTTTTGCCTGGTTGGAATTTCCTCCTTGGCCCGAGAAAAAGCATGGAGGCAAAGTCGAGGCAAACACCAAGAGCCAATGCCAAATGCTCATTGCTGGTCACTATTTAATTCAGGGTACTTTGTCATTTTGGGAAAACCGGTGACATGTGGAGCAACACTGTGCGGAGGCCATGCCCTGGTCGGGGGCACCCCCCCCATTCTTTTCCAATCCCACCCAGCAAGAAAACAAAACAATTACATCCCATAGATCAACCAGTCCTCTTGAGTGTGGTGAGAGGTGGATGGCTTGCTTCTTATTTGTTCGGGCAGTATCGTCCAACCTGCACCAACCTGTCAGGGAAAGCAGCAGAACGAAACAAACAAATAAGAATTGCGAAAGGGCGCTGCCGACCCATGCACACAAACAAGTCTGCATTCATGTTGAGAAGCAACGTCTCTTCCTTCAGAATGTTCCTCCTGTTTGTGGCCCAGTGGTCGCAAATAAGAAAGGAACCTGTACATTGCAAAGATGCAGGCAGCTCCTTCTTGGACACAAAAGACTGGCAAGAAGCGCTGCTTTACAATCACCACACGATACGGGCAACTAAGCGCGGCGTCCGAGGTCAGGGAAGCTGTTGCTGGAGAAAAAAAGTTTTCTGCAAAACATTGACTAAAGTGAGGTTTCACATTTGACCCGTTTCGAAGTTGACTCGAAGCTAACTGCGCATATCATTGTGTTTGTAGAACCTGGAGAGGTCCTTGGATGACCGCATTCTGCCGGATTGTCATACTGTCGGCTGACATTCATAGGAGCGAGCCTCTACAACTTCTTCTTGCGCTTCCTCCTTCACCTGGAATTCACAAACCCGCCTCAAAACGTTAAATTTTGATGCGCGAGCGCGATTTGGAAAGCAGAAGCGGGCGGAAGCCTTTTTTAGTAACTTCTAACACGATAAGCGCGCGCTTCACGCCTACACCTGTGGGAGGTTGAAAAAGTTGCAAAAACGAACACTGCACCAACAAAACCGTGTGTGTGGAAGCTTGTCGGGTCCATTTCCCTCTCGCACGGCAAGCTCCTTTTCCCTCTCCAATCCTCGTCTTTAGCTGCTTGTCACACACGTGTTCAGCCACGCGTGAACACGCCAAAGCCCCCGACACCAACGCCAGGTGCCAGCAGCGGAACGGAAAAAAAGAATGGTGACGTGTGGGAGTGGAACTATTTAATAGCAAGGTTGCACCTTCAACACTTACCCTGCCAGTTCCAGGCATCGGGGTCTCCCTAAAAAGGTGCTCAAGCGACTCTTCATTCGCAGTTGATAATGCGCTGCTGCTGCTGCTGGTCACAATCAGCCGACGCTTGCGATGCCGAACGCTTCTGCTTACGGGCATTCACAAACTCGGACTCGGACCGCTCCTCCTCGGGAAAAAACAAAATCAACCCTCCAACACCCTCCCCCCTACTCCTACCAGTGAGTGTGAATGTGAATCTGAACAATTCTAAATCTAGAAGCCTTTGCCATTGCCAGGTCCCGCCTGGGAAGTGTCAGTATGAGATTTGAAGTGGGTCGCGGGCACACTTTCCAAACAAAGTGTCGAACTCCTTGCCGTCAGGCGGGGCCCCAAGCTCTTCAGCACGGCGCCTCTCTAGCACTTCGACCTTGAAAATGCTCAGTGGCCTCAATTGCACAGAGGATCCTTAGCCAACGGTTTTCCCACAACCCTGCAGTCCGGAATATATTAATAGAAACCTGCTACGCTAATGCTACGGGCAACTGAAACGAAACTCAAAACCGCGAAGCAAAACTACATGTTTTGGACAAAGGACGACCAAGATGCAAAATTACATGCGTAGCACCCTCTACCCAAGAGCTGCAATGTTTGGAGCTGCTTGGAGGCTTGATCGCCTTAAAGCCGCCCCTGACCTTGTCGAACAACTTCGCTGGCATCTCCTTCGCTGCCGCCCGGTGCCCGCGGCAATTCCTGTTTGGCAAGGCTTGGCTCAAACCTATGTACAATTGGTTGGCTGTAGTCCTGTGCAACCATACAACCAACATAAGTTTGAGCGATTTCTGAGCAGCAGAAACCTCATAAAACCAAACGCCTAAATCAAGTGTGCGGTCCAACAGTGCCCACCGCCACCAAGACCAACTTCTATTTACAGTACATCCCGGCCTCAGCCGCGCCCTTGCAACAAGAGCGGCGTCACCCCTGACAAGCAAGGTGCGGCGTGAGGACGCGATCTGTCTCTAGACAGGGCTGGGGTTCTGTCAGGAATGAAGCGCACAGCAATCAGAGGGCTGCCGTTCCCAGTCACTTGAAACATAGCCACAACAACACTATAGTCCTAAAGGGTACAGTGAATCCAGGTCTACAGGTCTACAAGCTGGTTCAATTAGTAGTGGTACTCTGGTCATTATCTACTGACTCGGAGTCGGAACCTTAGGATGTTAGTTAGGGTTCAGAGTTTAGAGCTGCTTACAATTACTAGTTCCCCATTTCAATTCTTCAACGCTCCGCAACTGCTGCGTGGACAGCGCGGTTGCCTTGATCTGTGTGAAAAAACACTTCACACGACTTTGTCCAGTAGCCCAAAACGGTCCAAAAGTTCTGCCTGGCGCTCTCCGCTGATCTGCGCTGAGATCAGAAGAAAATGGCTGCAGGCACCCGCCGACACCTGAAGCGTTGAATTGGATTTCGACATGCTCATTTTCATTTGTCGATCTAGTCCGATGTGGCCACAACACCCATGCCACGTCACACTGAAACTGTTTTGGAGACCTGGTCTGTCTGCTCACACAGTTTGCGCAAAGCTGGTGATTGTTCAGCGAAAAGGATCCCAAAAAATGATTTCAGCTACGTGTGGTTACACCTGCTGGAACTAGGTTGCGCTACAACACTTTGCCAGGCCCAAACACCCTACCCACAAAATCTTGCCAAAAACCTGTCGCAAACTCTGGGCGTCGCTGTCCAGAAGAAAAGTTTCTAAACAGCTTGTCAATTCTCTTGAAGACTCAGAGCGTTGTTGGTTGGAACCTTGAAGTTGGGGCCGGGGAGGTTTGGAGCTACAAGTTGCAAGCTACACACACAAACCCAAGTGCACAATTTCAGCCGTAAGGCCAGCTTCGTTAGGACAGGAATCATTCTCAACTTGCGTTTATGTTTGACTTGCATCCTGGACCCTCGGTCCTGGATCCCTTCCTAGCCGTAGCCCTCGCCTGCCCACACTCCAAACTACTGTTGATGACCCATTTGGTGACCCCTTTACCACGACCCGGACCACCAAGGGTGGTTTATGGACACCCCTTAACTTCTAAAAGGCTATTGATAGACACCCTGCACCGGTAGATTGATTTTATAGGCAGCAGAGTCATCTTGTTGAACACGACATCCAACCAAAGCTTGGTTGACTCTGGTTGACCTTCCCGGGCATCGCCTTCCGCCTGGTGCTTTGCTGTGGCAGGTTTTCAAAGAAGCATGTTTTGCTCTTGGTCATGCGCCCCCAAGTGTGGCCTGCGGACGTCCACGGAGCTCAGATGTGAACTTGTCCAGAACCTTGCAACACGCAGGTCGTCTCACATGCACCAGTGGAAAAATGACTCGAACAAGTTGAACTTAGGGCACATCAACCCAGCGCCAACGCGTAGCAGGAGGCTTCGAAATGAAAAAAGTAACGGTGGATAAAGATACTGCAGAGTGGGGGCAGGAAGGTCGAGCATGAGGGTATATACTAGATCAACCCCCAATCCACAAAGCCTAACCTGGTCGCGCTTGCAACTTGCAAGACACTTCTGCAAAGCACCCTGAAGAAGCTTCAGCTCCCACAGTGTCACCGCAAAGAAGACCATCTTCCGAAGTTCATTGACCCAGGAGACCATGAGTCGAGCAAATCCCTATAAACTTTAGCCTCTCTCCAAACCCAAAAATAACATCTCGAAGGCGATCTCGGCTGCAGGACTCTGAAAGCAAATCCTGGCCAGGAATGTGCACTCGCATCAAAATCACCTAGGGCAACCAACAAATTTTCAACCAACCATCCACAATAAACGCCCTTCAACTTGTTTGTCACCAGTCTTAAACTTGGAACCACCCACGGCCAACGGACTTGCCGGACTTGCCAACCAGAAATCTCTTTAAGTTCGGGCAGGCTGAGGGTTAAGTTCCAAGCGCTTTTTCTTACTGAGGCTAGTATCACATTCGTGAAAATCCAACTCAAGAGTCCAGGCTCACTGCAAGCTCTGACATCTTGTTTAAATCTAAATCTTCAACCATGTTTCAGATTGGCCAGGATGTTTTTACGACGTTGCCTAAAAGGTGCTTTTTTGACCAGCAGATTAAATTCCCCTGGCGGTCTGGCAAACTGAGTGACAATAGGCAAG